GATTTCGAGCGAGGTGTTGAGGAGTTTTGAGCAAGGTGGTGAGGTAACTCATTATATATATCCCTGCACCTCTTTGACGAGTTGCTTTTCTTGAGAAAAGTATTTATGATTCTATGTATAGTCACTGAGTAGGTCATTTCTTAAAATTTTTTTAAAAAAATATTATCCCTTGTATAAGGTGAACACATCGATCTCAGTTGGAATATATATATATATATATATATTTTCCTAATCCACTATTGATCATTAGGCAATATTCTACCATGCGGGATAGACCATATAGGTTTATATTTATAGTTCTATACCTAAACCTCTCTAATAAGTATATTGCCAAAACTTGACTTTTTTAGCTAGGTAAAAAAAAAAAGAAGTGTTTTGCTTTGTGCATTGACTCTCGGATATTGTGTTGCAAAGGCACCGATATTGGGGTAGTGGTTGCATAGAAAAAGAGGAAATGCAAAAGTGGTACCTATATATTAACTATATATTAATGTCCAATAACGTCGGTAGCAGTGTATCAAACTCATGCAATGTATTTTTTATATATATAAATGCATATTAGTATATCAAATGTTTGGTGGATATAGCCTTAAAGAATAAGTTCTAAGCTTGAGAAAACCCGAGCTTTGAGTGAAGAGAGTCTTGAAGTTTGATACGGTGTTCTTTTTCCAATACTATTAAATAGTTCTTCTGGATTTTAAATAGTATTTAGGATTCTTTATTTTCAGTTATCTAAAAAATCATTTAATTAAGGTACAATATTTTTCCTTTCGTTTCAAAACTTCCATGTTCTCTTCCCACTGTCCATTCATTTGGCCCTCACACCCAATTACTTATAGGAACTTCCTATACCCTGTTTTTTTTTTTTTGGATAGAATTGGTGAATATGTCATCATATGCTGGAAATTAATGAATTATGGTATCTTTTCTTATCCTTAGTGCAATTTTATTTTTGGACTTGACTTGATCTGGTTGTTGTTGGGATTAAGTTGAGAAGAATCTTGCCTTCCATAACATGCACTTATAATATATTCCTGTCGTCTTTTTGTTTTATAGGATGAGTTCATGAAAAGAAAGGAAAAACTAAGTTCTGAAAGAGGCTCTCCAAGCATACAATCTAATCAGGAAGAATTTAACAGATGGTTAGATGTTATAGGTGGCAAGAACAAGAAGGGCCGCATCTATGGATTTGGGTCTGAGGCTGATGATGATATTTGTACCCAGAGGTCTTCTCCTTCCATTAACAGCACAAGTATAAATGCCAATGTTGAAACTGAATTGCGCATGAGGATAACGAAGCTTACACAGGAGAATCAGCAAATCAAACAGGAGCATCAAGAGATGAGAGAAAATTATAACAAAATCATGTCTGCATTGGAAGGAATGAGAATTAAACTGAGCCCTCTAGCAGCAATATAAATTTAGTAAATGATAGTTGACAGTTGTTATTATTATTTCTATCTTTTATTTCACACTTGACACTTGACATTTGAAGCATTTGGATGTGGGAAAGACTATATATATATATATATATCTTTTAATAGCATATTTGATTTTTTAACAAATTCAATTATCTTTCGTTCCCTCTTAAAAAAACAATTGATTAAATTAAAATAGCACAAAATGAAAAAAAAAATTGACGGGAAACAATTTTGCCACGGAATTAGCCATGGAATATTCCGTCTGAAATTCCGTGGCTAATCAGTCACGGAATATTCCGTTGCAAAATTTGTGACGGAAAATTCCGTCGGTATTTTCGGTCGGAAATTCCATCAGAAATTATCGACAGAATTTGTGATCTCATCGCAAATTGATTTAGTGACGGAAAAATTTCCGACGGAATGCATTCCGTCGAAAATTCCGTTGGTAATTCCTGTCCGTCGCAATTCCGTCAGTAATTTTAGTTTCCGTCGGTAATTCCGTGAGTAATTCCGTCGATAAATCAGTGTTTTTTTTGTAGTGGGTATTCTAGGAAAATCAACACAAATTTATTCAAATAACCAAATTAATTTTTTTTAATATCTATAAATTAGTTGTCTAACTCTTATATTAAAAACTAAATGGAGTATTATTTTATTGTCCAGAAGGTCTATGAGTTGTAATATATGTAAGGCATTTTTTTCTCTTGTTATGTAATTGTTTTGATGGCATATTCTTTGACGTAAGTATTAGTGATTGATGTATTGCGAGTTTTGGACTCATTGATTCATATTTTAAGGAAACCAAAAAAACAAAAATGAAACGTTTCCTCTTGATTGTGAGTGAGTGAGATGCTGTTTTGAAATGAGTTCCTGTATGTATAATTTTTTTTTGACGACATATTCTCCTGACAACTGTGTTTTGCTTGTTATCTTCTTTCGTTTGCCTAGGACATATATCCTAGTGGTGATCCAGTGAATGGGTTGGAGATTTCAGGAAAATGTCTTGGTTGCGGCAAGATTCAAAGTGAATTATATTATGGGAAGGAGTAAGGGTGTTCAACTGTGTCCCATACCAGCATTCTGTCCTTGTCCCAATCATTTTGGGATGGGATAATCCCGCCTTGAAAGTTTTTGGGATGGGACGAAAGTAGGACGGGATAAAATTGTTTAGGGATGGGACGGGATGTGGGATAGGGGTGTCATGTCCCAGTCTCGATCCCATTCCAATGTATTATCTTTATTTTTAGTTGTTATATATTTATTTTATTTATCACTGTAATAGTATTTTGTAATGATATTTATCAATTGTTATTTTTTATTTGTTTATAAGTTGTTTTTGTATGGGTTAGATGACATTTTTTGTAGTGAATATTTTAGGTTTGTTTATTTTTTGTCTCTCATGATTACAAAAAACATTCTTTTTCTTTGCCATTGTGTCCTCATTTTTACCTATTTTCCTCACGTAGTTTTTATTGTATGTTTTTACACTTCCTGTATAATTAGTTTTCAAATTAAAAAATAAAAAAATCCAAAAAAAAAGATGGGACGTCCTTGTCCTGTCCTAGTTAATTGGGACGGGATGCTATTAGGATGGGACAGGACACAAGACGGAAAAGCCGTCCCATCTCGATTATTGGGATGGGACTGGGGCAGGGTCGTCCCTATCCCATCCCATCCCATGAACACCCTTACAAAAGAGAGTCGACGATATTTTATTTCATTAATTTATTCATGAAATATAAATGTATATTAATGACCTGATGTTTTTTTGATGTTTGATTGTTCACAACACATACTCTCAAAATGGAATAGGAAAATAAATATACATGTTCATATAATTTATTTTACTTTTCAATGATCTTCCTGTATTTTTATAGGGTCTTTATTATTTGATCTAGTAATTTTTAATATCTATAGAGTTTACGAAATTTCATTTATAAAAATACATGCTTATTGGTAATCTTTGTAACAAAAACAACAAACATATTATTCGAGTTGTACCCAAGAATACCCTTTTTAAGAAATATTTCTCAACCCTTTAGTAATTGAGAAAGCAGCATTCCTCATGATTAAAGAAATCCTTTTCCTAAGAACACAGGGTGGCAAAACATTGAAAGGTAAGAGAACTCAATAAGAGGACAAATGTTTTAGAGGAGAAGAGAGCGCTTCAAGAGCGGTTACTTTGAGCGCTTCATGATATATAATTATTTTTTTAATGTAAAATTTGGTTTGTTACAAAATATAAATAATATAAAAATTGAGACAGTGAATAATATATAATATATAATAATACAAAATTTAAGCATAAAATCAACTGAACCATATGAACAATTGTTAATTTCTTTTATAAAATAGCATAAAATATTCTTTGAGCAAAAATTTTCATTTCTGGAACATGAAGTCACTTTCAGAAATGCACATTAATCCTGAAATAATTTTCTATTATTTGTCTTCAATTATTTGATGCCTCTTGGTTTTTTTTTTTAATAATTACATTTGGCTCTTTATCCCTTAATTAACCAAAATTTAAGAAATTAAATAAAATTTCCTTTTAAGGTAGTTTCTAATTTTTACTTCTTTTGATCCTCAAATACGATACAAAGTATTAATCTCTATCTTTCATGAATTTTTAAAAATTTTCTAAAATTTTGAATATATTTTTTAACATTACTCTTATGGTTGGAAATTTTTTAAAGTTACTCTTTTACCCTAACTGTATTTGACTTTTACTAGGACATGCCAGATATTACATAATGAGCATTTCATCTTATTTATAAATCATTTTCGACATATTTTACAAGAATGAAGAAAAGTCTTAAAATTTATTAATGCTATCTTAAAATTTAGAATGTATTCACCTTTAGTCTTGTCAATATATATTTTAAAAAATTAAACAATATACATTAATATTTAATGATGGATAAAAAATGAAGCTGGTGATAAAAAAACATTAATGGTGCACCTTTTAATTGGGACAAAAAAAAAATTCTCCCTCTCTACCTTACAAATAAGATCAGTGAGGCATTCCAAAACTTGATGTTAGGTTTGACTAGAAAAGCCTGGTTTTTGTTTTTCTTGTTTTTTTATTTGAAGTTTTCTCTATGTAAAAAGAAATTAAAAAAGAAGAAGAAGAGGTAGGCTTTAGTTTGCAGTTTCCGCTGGGGCTTCTTTCTTCAACAACTGTCTGCATTCTTTTTAAGAGTTGATAATGATTTTTGGATTCTTTTTTTAAAAAATATTTAATTCATGTTTCTTATATTTATTATATTAAATTGTCCAGTCACGCACATGATTGGATTTGCATTGGGTGCTCATCAGTTTTGATGAGCACCCAACGCTCATCAGATCTGGACCGTCCAGATCTGATCTGGACAGTCCAGATTTAATTTTATTTTTATTTTTATTTTTTAAAATAATTATTTTAATAGGTATAGGATAAAAATAATGATAATCTCTTAACTATCATTCTTTAAAAATATAATTTTTTCTATTCTTAAATAATTATTTAAAAATATTAAATCTGGACTGTCCAGATTAGAGCTGGACAGCCCAGATTGCTCATCAGGTGATGAGCACTGAATGCGGGTGCCACATGATTATATGTCTGATACTTTTTATGAGAATTTAAAATTAAATTATAATATCTTAAAAACAAAATACACAATTTATACACGTATCTCTCGCTCTGAAATCTCCTACTTGTTTCCATTGAAGACCGGCGGCCAAAAGTTTATTCGCCTTTACTTTTACCCATTTTCCTACGAACCCAACTTCCTTCGGTCCGACACGTTCTTCTCCGTCAGAGTTGGATCTCACACTCTTTTGAAAGACTTTAATGCTTCAATCACCGCTGATGACGCTGGCGAAGAAACCATTGTACGAGAGTACTGCCTCAATATATATGGACCCAGTGAGGGGCTTATGATAACCTTCACGCCCAACCCATCTCATCAAAACGCTTATGCTTTCGTCAATGGTATTGAGGCTGTCTCTATGCTCGCCTTTCTTTATTACACAGACCCAAAAAATCTGCAAGGGATGATGCTAGATGGTGGAAACCTGCAGTATCCAGTTCAGAGCAGCACTGCTCTGGAGACTATTTACAGAGCTAATGTTGGCGGAAGTCAGATCGGTTCCGATGAAGACACAGGCATGTTTCGTTATTGGGAGCAGGATAATGCATACTTGGAGCGGGAGCGCCCATTTAGTGTATCCGCAGGTTTTCGTTTGCAGATAGATCACACAAATTATCCAAATTATACTGCACCAGGTAAAGTATACCTGACTGCTCGAAACGATGGGGTGAAGGAAAAGTCCAGATTTAACGTGACCTGGCAGTTTCCAGTGGACTCAGCGTTTCATTATATGGTGAGATTGCATTTTTGTGAGTTTGATGAAAAAATTCGCAACACTGGGGACAGAGTTTTTCAAATCTTCATAAATGATGCTTTGGTAGAGCATCTCGCCGATGTGATGATGTGGACTCAGAAATTATTAGTTCCTATCCACAAGGACTACGCGGTGTGGATGCCGGGTGACGGAAGGTTAAAGAAGCTGAATCTTTCAATTAAGTGCCTGTTTGGATCAACGATTAGAAAAACAGCTTATAGGAAAAGGAGCTTATGGAAAAGTGAAGTTAGTAAAAGTTAAATTGGATAAGCTAAATTGTGTTTGGATTGAAGTTCATAAAAGTTAGTTTGCAAAAGTGAGATTGGTAAAGGCTTGTTTGGATTATAGTTGAATAAAAGTAAGTTTGGCTGAAAAATTACCAAAATAGGTATGAGTTTTAATAAATAATAAAATATGATAAAAAATTGATTTCAAATAATACATTAAAATTAAAATAATTTAGTATGAAGAAATCAAATTTAATGAGTGGATTAAATTTTAAAATTTTAAAGAAATCATAAAAAATATTTTAAATATAAAGTGAAATATGAAAAAAAAAAACAAAGTTGAGATAATATAATGAAGAAGTGAAATTTAATGAGTGAATTAAAATTGAAACCTTTTGAGAAATCATAAAAAATATTTTAAATATAAAGTGAAACATGATAAAAAAAAATGAAGTGACATAAGACAATGAATTTAAATTAATTTAATATGAATAAGTGAAATTGATTAAGTGAATTAAATTTGAAAACAGTAGAGAAATGAAAAAAAATAAGGCAAATAAAAGTGAAACATAATTTGAATGGATAAAAATGTTTTAAACTCCAATTTGTAGTATTGCGACAAAGTGAAACGAAATAATAATATTACATAATTAATTAATTGACAAGCTATGGATAATTTGGTCTCTGATTGCATCACGGACGCGATTCATATGTGATGAAAACTGTGAATTGACATTTGAAGATGATGGTTGACTAGCTTCAGCTTGATCATGTTCGCCAACTACATTACCATCTTCAGCTTGTTGAAAATAGAAGTCAGAGCTTGAATGTCTCCTTATAAGGTTATGAATGGCCATTGTTGCACAGACTAAGTACACTTGTGTTTGGAAGTCGTAACTATGCATATTTCGTAGGATTTGAAATCTATTCTTTCAAACACCGAATGTTCTTTCTATTGTGCACCTTAAACTAGACTGATAATAATTAAAGACTTCGTTACTATTTCAGAATCCTACTTGTCGTCGGAGGTCCGGAAGGTGGTAGCGCTCACATCTGTATGGACCTAGATATCCATTTGATGTTGGATATCTCGCATCAACCAAGTAATATTTCCCTAACGATTCATGAAACAATTTGAGATATTATGAAATGAATAAAAATATGAAATAATTAAAAACATGCGTGATTGGAACATATAAACATATACTTGGAGGTATATGAGAGAAATTTAGAGATGAATTTGTAATAGCACTGTCAAATATACGAGCATCATGTGCAGATCCCTCCCATCCTACCTAGACAAAAGTAAAACACATATCCCAATCACATACAGCCATGACATTCTGTGATGGATTTCCCTTTCGGCCAATAAATTTATCTCATTTTGCAGTAGGGACAACACACGGTATGTGAGTACCATCAATTACTCCAATTGTGTCCTTAAAAAATGGATAATAACGTGGATCATTCTTAATTTTTCTATGAGTTCCACGAAATGTAGGATCTATGGGTCGAATAAGTTCACTTGATAGGCTAAGGCAAGCTTGCAGTACATTGTGAAAAGGTCTACTTACAGTTTTCCTTGAATGTTGAAATCGTTCCTGGATCATCCTATTACATTGTCCATGTGCAACCTTGTTTAAAAACATCGCAACCATTTCTTCAATTCCTACATACTTAGACTTTCGTAAACCATGTTCCTCCAATTTAGTACATAAGAGGTGGAAAATATTTTTATCCACTCTAAACATTTCAGGACATCGATCGTCATGCCCATTCATAATGCCTTGTACCCATAAATTTCCTATCTGCTCACTGGTTCTGCAGCGTTGTTTAAACATATACATTTCACAGTAATGACCAACCAATGCACCTACTGTTTCATATTGTGTTAATTCCTCATTAATTATGGATAACTGTCTTGAATGGTCATCTTCATTCCACTATGAATCATCATTCCAATCCCTCAAAGTATCTTCATTCCATAGTGAATCATCATTCCAATTAGCCATTTCTGGAATTAACCCTGTAACTATGATGACAACAAAGTGTAAGCATTATAAGGACTACACTAAACAAAGTTTAAATAATTTTCATACTGCAAACAGAAAAACCAAACACAGATGTCAAGTAGAAATTAGCATAAATATATTACATAGTCATTAATAAAGTTCCTACAACAGGTCACATTAGTTCAAGTTCAAATAGCAATTAGTTCAAGTTAACAAGTGTAGTAACAACAGTGAAACAACAAAGTCCTAAACTAAATCCTAATCTACAGGTCCCTTCCATGTGTCTGGGTCTTGTGCTGCCAGTATTAACCATGCTAACAACTTGCTTCTATCATGCATAAATCCCAAATAGGCTGGCCTAGCCCACCTCAACCACATAAGCATCTTGGCACATGCATAATATAGCTTATTGTTACAATTAAGCTCCTCAACGATAGTCAAGTGTGCCAAAACCTTGTCAACTATTTGGGGATCTTTAACCAATGCTACTGCTCGCTTGTCAGAAACAGCTGCTATAACACTAAGGCTATCAGAAATTTTTGTAGACGCAACAACTTTTTTCTTCTTCTTTGCATTAGAGGTCTTATCCCTCTTCCTCTTTCCATAGCTTCCTGAGCCACTTGGTCCAGTACTCGCAGGGTTGTTTAAGTTGCAACCAGCAAAGTCATCTGTAACCCCTGCACTAACTGTTAGATCAACACCAAAATTTTCATCCTCACTATCCCCTAACCCTTCGTGTTGGTCCAGCCCGACTATATAAACATCCTCCTCCCCTTTTGTGTCAGGTTGTGGAGCAAATGCTGGCTAAGGCTGTGACGCTGATGGTGCGTACATGTGGTCTCCCGAAGCCACAACATCTTTGAATATTTTCACAGATCTAATGCAAACATCAACCCCTAATGTCTAAATTTCTTGAAATTAGGGTCCACCTACATTAAGATAATTAGGCGGAATCAAGTAATGTCTGTATCGATATTCAAAATTAAAAGTCAACCAGTGCAAGTAGTTACCATTAATTTTCGTTGCCACCACTCATCGAAAGCCCTATTTGTTGCTGCATCATAACCAATGCCAGTCTCTCCAGATATAAGTTTATCCCACAACTTCCAATCTTCTCTTAATATGTCAAATCTATTCTTCAGTTATCTCTTGTCATAATTTTTCCCACTCCTTTCATTAAAACTCTGTTGAATTTTAGTCCAACCAGGTCCTGTAAATGACGATCCTTGTCGTTCCTTTTGCACTATTTGCTCAACACAAATATCAATAAAAAAATTTTGTTGTGTAAGGATCCCATGTCGCCTTTCCTTTATCAGAATCCATTTTTCTATCCAAAATAATATAAGTGTAAGACTAACTTATTAAGCAACCTAACAACCATTATTCGAAAAAATTTCACACATCAAAGCACAAATGATGTGATCCAAATATATAAATTCAATGAAAGCGCATTTAAATTACCAAAATATATATCAGTTCTGTTTTTTTTTCAAAAATCTTTTTCTCCTCATGGAATATGGCCGAAATAGGTGATGGAACAAAAGATAAACGGGGATAACACACTCTTTCTATCTTTGGCTTCCTCACTCTAATAGTTCAGTACTCTTCTTTACTAACTTCAGTTTGCATCTCTCACGAATGATTCTAATTTTTTAATGACCAGCATTGCCTATGCTACTGCTTCTTTGTTTTTTTCCTGTTACATGCTCATACCAACCATTGCTCATACCATGTTTTTTTCCATCAGATGCTCATGCAATGAAAAAAACGCGTGTTCAGCCCGACTCTAGTCTCTATTTTTTTTCCCAAAATAAACCTCCTCTCCTCATCAATTATGGCCGAAATAGGTGATGGAAGAGAAAACACAGAGGACACACGACTATTTACAAACCATTGTATTAACATAAGAGAAAAAATCCCAACAAGTTCAGTTTCTAAGAGCAGAATCCATACTTGAACAGATTACAATCCATCATGTTTAACTCTACAGAAAAGGAACCTGATCAAAAAAAAATCTACACAGAAGGAACCAGAAACGGTGACTTTGTAGTACCAGATAGATTAGCTCAACACAAACCAAGCTCGAATTAATTTGTACATCAGCTCAACTCCACTACAAATCTACAGGTCAGCCGTTACATGCAACCAGAGCAAGCTAGATGAAAAGAGAAAGATGAGAACAGAGAATCTGTATAGTATATACTAGATCGGCAATAATAGAGCCTGAGAAAGGCATATCGGACTGTGTTTTGCACTCTTCGGCCGAGATATACGCCGGCAACTCACTCCCAGTGCTCAGACGCCAGCCACCGCAGCTTCCGGGGAAGTCTTCAGATCTGACATGCCAACACCTTTGGATGACCGATGAAGCGCACAGAGATGCTTCCCCACCAGACCCAACACAACACTCACCTCACGTCAGCCAACGGAAAAAAAATGGCAGAGAGGCGACGGAGCTATAGCAACAGACTCGACAGCGTAGCTCTTCTCTCCAGCGGCGAAGCTCAGTTTTTCGAGTGGAGGCACAAAGAAAGACGGGAATGAAAATGAGGAAAGGCCTTCGATCAAAAAGAAAATGAGAGAAGGCAGAGGAAAGAAAGGAATAAAAAAATGGGGAGAGAAAATATTTTCATGGGAAATGAGCATCTGACAAAAAATAACGATCCATAAGCACGATTTCAACTTCGAAAAGCTTCTCTAGGTAGCTTAACAGGTCGGGCTTTCCAATCTGGCTTTTGGTGGATAAGTAGGATGGCCCAAATGCTGATCCAAACTACCTTCAAAATGCAATCGGCCTTATTTTAATTTTCCACCAGCTTTTGGCCCACGAAACACTCTCCCAAACAAAGCCACACCCAACTGGGAGAAGCACTTATAGAGATGTCTTATTGAATGGCATCGAAATTCTTAAAGTAAGTGACTTTAGAAACAGCGTCGCAAGTTCCAATCCCGATCCACCTCTTTCTCCCCCATTGCTTCCGAAGGCTCCTAACAAGAACCCACCAAAAATGAGACTCACTTCTATAATTGTGGGGTCAACTTTCGGCTTCATTGTGCTATCTCTCATCATTTTGCTGGCTTACTGTCCATTGGCTAGAGCTGTAACCAATCAAGGAAATCCACAGTTGGGACCAAAATCATTGTTGACGTCAAAAACAATCAAATCCTCAGTGTTGCCATATGATTTATGTCGTTACTTCTCAATAATCGTGGTAAGAGCAGCCACTAATAATTTCCATGATAGTTTAATTATAGGCGTTGGAGGGTTTGGTAATGTCTATAAAGGTCACATTGAGAACGGTTCAGTTCCTGTGGCAATCAAGCGTCTCAAACAAGGTTCACAACAGGGGCTTAAAGAGTTCGAAACTGAGATTGAAATGCTTTCTCAACTTCGTCACCATCATTTGGTATCTCTCATTGGTTACTGCAATGATGACAATGAGATGATCCTCATCTATGAGTTCATGGCTCGTGGGACCTTTCGTGAGCATCTTTATGATTCTGAAAACAAACCACTTTCTTGGAATCAAAGGCTGGAGATTTGCCTAGGTGCTGGACGAGGGCTTCATTATCTACATACAGGTGCAAAGCAAGCAATTATTCATCGTGACATCAAGTCGAAAAACATCTTAGTAGATGAGAATTGGATGGCCAAGATTTCGGACTCTGAACTGTCCAAACTGGGACCTGGGGGTATTTCTAGATCTAACATTAACATAAGCACATTAGTGAAAGGAAGCATTGGTTATATGGATCAAGAATACTACACATTGCAAATCTCGACGGATAAGTCAGACGTATTCTCATTTGGAGTTGTGTTGCTAAAGGCATTATGTGGAAGGCCTCCTATTCTCCGTGCAGTGGACAGGGAGTGGCAAAACCTTGTAGACTGGTTTCAAAGATTTGTTGATCAGAATGCCATTTATGAGAATGTGGATTCATTCATCAGAGAAAGTATAACGCCGAAGTGCTTAAAAGCATACACTGAGATTGCATTGAAATGTGTAGCTAAAAATGGGAATGAACAGCCATCCATGGGTGATGTGATGCTAGGCCTAGAATGTTTAATGGAGACAATGGACAAAGCAGAGAAGACAAAGCCTGGTGGGACTCTAAATGGGGACATTATTGTTGAAGAAGGATCAGCATTCAATGGGTGATGGACGTACCAGTTTTAACCTTTTTTTTTTTGGTTGATAGTACAAGTTGAAGCTTTTAAATCAATGTACATAGATATGAAACTCGTAAATAAGTACATACAATTTTGCATTCACCACTTTGTCGTTCATCAATTTTCAAGTTATTAATTGCATGCACGATTATTATACAGAAAAACATCGCTTTCTTTCCGGAGTCCAATTCCCCCCCCCCCAAAAAAAACAAACATTCCAAAGTTTATTGCATCTTCCAAGCAAGTTGCAAAGGGCAAATGTTAAACACATCAAATATTCAAATCAAACTAATGAATAGAATTCAAGAACATATTTATCTTAATTTGGTAAGAAGATGTGTACACTCCATTATCATCAACATTAAAAAAATGGTTTTCTTTTTCCTCTCATTTTGTTTCTACGGTAGCAAGTAAATGAAGAGATTACTGTTCGAGAAGGCATAGAGGAAGTGAAGCTTGATGTGGCCGAAATTGAAGGAAAGAGCAAGGAAAGGGTTCTGATCAGGCAAGTGACAAATGTGGAAGAAAGACAAGTAGGTTTCACAAGTAGAGATGGATGAAGGAGTGAATCAAACAGCAGCAAGTTGACAAAGTCAAGTAATGAAGATTCCTTCTTTAATTTGCTTTCTTCTAGGCGCGATGTTGATGAGATGAAGGTCCCAGATTATGGGTCCGCATGCTCATCGTTCGGGGATGGCCCCATTCTTTTTTAAAATTTTTATTTTTTATTCATTTGGAATATTCTTTAGCAATAGCTAACTTTTGGTATATTCAATACCCTAAATTGTTTTTCAGTAGTATCTAGTATCCTAATTTATTAATTTTTTGTATATTCAGCATTCTAAAATATTTTTTCAATAGTACCCAATATCCCAAATTAATGAATTTTTGATGAATCTAGCGTTTTAAAGCATTGTTTCAATAAAACCTAGTATTATAAACTAAATAATTTTTAACGCATCTATCATCTTAAAGTATTTTTTTCAGTAGCACTCACTAACTAAAAAAAAGTACTATAAATGCACTAAAAATTAAATTCATTTATGATATCGGGTGCTACCCAAAAAAATTCTATGGATGCATGATAAGTCTATATTTTATAATTAAATAGGTGTATATTTTGATTTATTTGGTTAAATTTATGGATATCTTATACCTGTTTAATTATCTTTTGTAGATTTTCCTCTCTTTTATCAATTACAGGATAAAAGATGATCTTGCATAAAATCTACTCAAATTTTTTATTATTTTTAATGCAGGAGACATAAAATTATTGAGAGAAGGAAATATCACAAATAAAAAGATAAAATAAAAGGAGAGCAACAATTGCAACAAATTTATTATGTATGTATATAATTGTATATATAGATATATTAAGAGGGTCAGAGGTGTGAAATTATCTGAAGCAAGGCAAATCATCATGATATAATATAATATATCGTATTGAAGAAGATATATGGATAAAAGGCGGTAGATTCAAGGGATTCAAGGGAGAGAAGACACAAAAGGAACTGGGGATAATTGGGGACAAGAGAGCAAGCATCAGAGAGCATTCCCAGAGGCAGCAACAAAACATTGTTTGCGACAACAAATCAGCGAAGTTACTACATTTGTTCATCCTGTGACAACAGCTAAGCAGAGGACCTCTATTGGACTCTTTGACAATTTATTCCTCTTTTCTTCTTCCTTTGTTCTGTCATGTTTGGGGATCTTAGAACAATACTGTTTATGGTTTATTTTATTATGAGTTTCTAAATTCCCCAGTTGGGGTAGGGATGTAGCCCAACTGGGAAGTTAGTTTTTATCAGTGTTGTTTTGCCTCTTTTTATGGCTTTTATGAATATATTTTGATTTTTATATCTATTTCTCTTATTCTTCATGTGGATTTTATGACTTGCCACCATTGAATCTAAATTATGGATGATCTTGATGGACTGGGAGATGAAGAGAGAACCTAGATTTAGAGAAGTAGACACAAATACCTAAGCTATGTATGGTTCTAGATATTTATGATGACTTAAGACGATAGCTTCAAGGTTTAATTGGTGTGGATGTCGTGGAAAAGAATTCAACTTTGATTAAACAGGGACTAATAATTTAGGAGAATATTAGGACACTTTAGGAATAGTTGTCACTATAATAAATTAAAGAGTCAATTCAAAGAATAGAAACTAGCAACCCTTAGGGTAAATCCTGAACCCCAACGCTTTGAGTGATCGATTTTCTCTTCTATTTGATTTTCTCTTGCTTTTAATTTATTATTTCATTATATATCATCAACCAATTCATCTATTCTCATTGTTACTTATTTGGATTAGTAAAAACACAACCTCACTGTGGGTACGACCCTAGATTACTCTAGGATTTTTACTACATCGAGCACATACATTTGCGGGAGCGATCAATGCACTAAATATCTATGGTTTAACTAGATTTTCATTAATATATATTAAAATTAATGAAATATTCATAACACATTTTCCATATATTTGGGGCTTAGCCGCTGGACATGCAGGGTTTGTATAATCATATAACAAATATTCGCGGCAAGAAAGTTATGAAGATTCTCTAACATATCCTTGTGTTTTCAAAATATAAATTAATGATTAAAAATCGTTCAAACTCCCGCATAATTCAAAACATAGTTAATTTAAAGAATACTGAATCTAAGATAAAAAATAGTTTTTTTTTTAATTCCAGTTTCTACCCAGTCAGCAAATACATGCAACTCATCGGTTAAAGATGCGTTGTTATGTATAAAGAAATTTGTAAAGGATGGATGTGGTATTTAATGGTGAAGGATGGATACTGATGACGGAAACATATATGATGCAACGTGTTAGAGCAGAAAAAGAGAAAGTAGGTTTCACGAGTAGTGATGAATCGAAGAGTGAATCAAACTGCAGCAACTTGACGAGGTCAAGCAGTGAGGATCATTCTTTGCTTCTTTTTGTTTTTTCCCTTTTTTCCGCTCCTGGGCGTGAGATCTTCTTAGAGTTAGATCTCCCAACAGTTCAATGAAATGAAGGTCACTGAGGTAGGCTATGGTTGTCTGATGATTTTAAGTTACATTCATTTCCGCATGTATGTGTGTTAAGAACGTTTTATAATTATATTTCTGATGCACCAAATAATTTCGTTATGTTATTCTCTTGTATCTGCATATTTGAGTAATTATTAGATGGAAGAAAAATTGTAATTATCTTTTCCTTATATTATTTGTTACTGCCAGGAATACAGAAAACATAATAAAAATAAAATAAAATTCATTTTTATTAAAAATTTTATTGATCTTTTTTTTTTTCAAAACAAAGCATCCTGCTTATTCTGTACAAGTGTATAGATGATAATTGGCCTCACCAAGACTGATTTTTCATCATTTTATACATATAGTTCAATTGGGGTCGCATCTTTCACTGTAATTCCAAATTTCATCTTCCACTGTAAACTCGCCACGCGTGGAATATATGCCAAATCTATATATCTTTGGAGGTTTCACTATCTCCAAATCCATCACACCTTCCAAGAAAGTGGCAGAGCACGAGCTAGATGCAATGTATTGAGAAACGAGTGGCGATGAATATTTCGAATTTGAGATTATCCGAAAAAGAGAATGTAATACCTAGGGACTTCTAGGTCTTCCATATGGACGGAGGTGACAGATTAAATTGATATTGCTTGACAAATTCCATGGAATGCCCAAACTTGAAGGCAAAGGGCTCTATCGAGAAATGGGACAAACGTGGAACAATATGTGAAGTGGTTTTGAGGCGTCCGCATTCTATGCTGATCAGCCTATCGAGCACGACGTGCTCAACACTCAAAACACAAACGTTTTGAGTGCTAAGCAGCGTCGGATCTTTCTCTTTTTTTTTGTTGCTTTTTTCCTTCTTATTCATCACAAAAAAATTATATATTGCCTCATATTCTTAATATAAAAGTTTATTTAACTTTTATTTTGATTCTAAATACAAGATCCTAATCTAATTTGTCTCTCATATTTATTTATTTTTCTCCAAAATAATCGTTATAATAATGGTAATTTTAGCCAATACACTTAATTAGTAAGGATATTTTAGAAAAAAATAACACATATTGATTACAAATAATTAATTTAACTAGTTTTCTTAATCTACTTAAATTAATCAACTAGCGCTTATATTAAGGATCGAAGGTAGTATATATTAAAATTATTTTTGTTTTAAGTTTCATCCAATATTCTAAAATATTTTTTTTATGTGTATTTAGTAAAAATACTGGATGTATATGAAAAAATATTTGAAAGCGTTGGATAAATCACAAAATATTTGAGGATACTAGACCCATCTGACAAAATATTTCAAAATGATGAATGAATCAAAAAATATCTCTAAGGATGCTGAACTTGCCTAAAAAATAATTTAGGGTGTTGGATAATTGCACCAAAAAAAATTTTAAGAAATGGGACACATCTAAAAAAATTTCAACGTGCTAGATAAAATATAATATTTTAAGAAAATGAACATACTTGAAAAAACTTTAAAGTACTAATGAAACTTAAACCAAAAATAATTTTAAATGCATTTTTTTTAATAAGGAAGGTAAAAAAAGGTCGAAAGCCAAAAAAAAAAAAAAAAAAGCAACGCCGTCGTCACTCAAAACGCCAGTGTTTTGAGTGCAGAGCAGCACAGAATGCGGATGCTAGTTTAGAGTGTTTGCAGCAATGTTTGAGCCTCTCAAACATGCCCTGAAAAATGTAGAATGTGCTTATTATGTCGTTTGTACGTGAAGTGATGTTTGGATTCATCATGAAAGCAAATGAGCTTCTTTAAAAAAGGCCACACAAAAGTTAGGGTGTGTTTAGATTAGTGGTGATAAAATTAATTTTTATTTCATCTAATTTTTTTAAATATGAGTTATGTCAAAAATCAATTAGTGTAATGTCATTTATATTTGAATTGATTTTTATAAAAGTTAGTTTGATAAATTGAAATTTGTGTGGATAAATAATGAAAAGATAAGTTTAGATATACAATGACTAAAAATTATATCTTTTTTTTTTAACTAATTTGCATAGCTTATAAATTGATTTTTCATCTAGTGATATGCATAAATATTTAGAGAGATCATGTAACATATGATATAATTAAGTAATTTATTTAGCTTTCTTAATCTCTTCAAATTA